AGCGAGTGCTGGAGCCTGAGATCTCTTTGCTGGGACCTGTAGTCCTCCTGCTGGTCACTGCTCCCCTCTCCCTGCGTGCAGCCGCGAGCGCCATCTTGGATTCCCAGCCCGACGGCCGGGAAGAATTGAGTAAGTTTTCCTGGTTGATCCGCCAGTTTCTTACATCGTGGCATAGCGGTGGAGGATCGGGCACCTGATAGGAACGGTGCAGTGTCAGTGCTGTGTCCCAGGGCCGGTTTGTGCCGCAGTGAGTCTGGCGGGTGGACGGAGCTGTCTTACTACACGTCCACCTTCAGAGCCGGCCGTGCATGCGCCCCCAGGAGTAAATGTTTAAAGTAAAAGTACACCGTTCTAACTCCCAGCTTACCAGAAAAGTGCCAACCACTGTGCAACTCCTACAGGGCACATAGGGGTCTATTTAAATAAATAAAAAACATGCATTGCTTTACATCCCCCGAAACATCATGTATATTGGCTGTGTGAGAATTTACCAACATTTGCTCATTAGTTCTACAAACAGGGCAAGTCTGAAGGTTCTTGATTGGTCTTTGGATGGAATGTTATTAGAGAATTTTGTCTTGGGACTGAATGTTATTTGAAACATTTTCTTTTCACACTGAACATTCTTAGAGCGTTTTCCCTTTGGGTGCTTTCCTTTGTGATTGAACGTTCAATCCAAAGGGAAAACACCCTAAGAACATTCAATCACAAAGGAAAGCACCCTATGAACATTAAGTTCAGCAAGAAAATACCTTAAGAATTCAGTTCAAAGGAAAAATACCCAAAAAAACAATCAATGCAAAGGTAAAACACCATATGAATGGTCAATCCAAAAGGGAAAAACACCCTAACAACATTCTGTTCAAAGTGAAAACAATCCCAAAGAGTACACACCCCAAGAATGTTCAATCAAAAGGGAAAACACCATAAGAACATTCTTTCCAAAGGGAAAAAACACCCCAAGAACATTCAGTTCAAAGGGAAAACCCCCAAAGAAGGTACGGTTCAAAGAAAAACACTCTTAGGAACATTCAATTCAAAGGGAAAGCACCCTAAGAATGTACAATCCCAAAAGGAAATTGCCCTAAGAATGTACAGTGCCAAAAGAAAACATCTGAAGAATCCCAAAGGGAAAGCATCCTTAGAACATTCAATCCAAAGGGAAAACACCCTAAGGATGCTTTCCCTTTGGGATTCTTCAGATGTTTTCTTTTGGCACTGTACATTCTTAGGGAAATTTCCTTTTAGGATTGAACATTCTTGGGGTGTTTTTTTTTTTCTTTGAATTGAACATTCTTAGGGTGCTTTCCCTTTCCTATTAAAACATTCTTAGGGTGTTTTCCCTTTGAATTGAATGTTAAGAGTGTTTACCTTTGAACTGTACCTTCTTAGAGGGTTTTCCCTTACAACTGAATGTTCTTAGGGGGTTTTACTTTTGAATTGAACATTCTTAGGGTGTTTTACTTTTGAATTGAACATGCTTAGAGTGTGAGCATTCTTTGTTTGCCTTTGAACTGAATGTTCTTAGGGTGTTTTTTTCCCTTTGGACTGAACATTCTTAGGGTATTTTACTTTTGAATTGAACATGCTTAACATGTTTTCTTTCTGAATTGAGTGTTCTTAGGGTGCTTTCCCTTTATGATTGAACGTTGTTAGGGTGTTTTCCCTTTGGATTGAATGCTTTTGGGATATTTTCCCTTTCCTTTGGAACTGGATGTTTTTTTAGGGTGTTTACTAAGAGAGGGTGTTTTCTCTTGAGACTAAGTGTTCGTACGGCATTTTGCATTGGGTTCAACTGCTCTCTTAGTATATGTTGCATCCAGTACTGTTTAGATTTGAGAAAAAATTCATAAGTATTATGGTTAACACATCCGAATTACATGCACCCTGCAACAGACCAATAACATTCCTCATATGTTAAAACCATTCGCAAGGTTATTTGCGATTTTTGAAAGGATACATTAGCACAACAAAGCAGTGCTATAGAGTGTAGCCTTTACATAGAAATTATGTGTCTGACTAGGCATTCACTGAAAATGTTGAGTACTTCTGAGTGGTAGGTGGCGGACACACTCACCACACTATTTGTCAGTTTAATTTTGGCAATCTTTGTCCCCATTGTGGAGAGATCTAGCTTCCCTTCTTGTCCTGTAAACACAACAGGAAGGAAGAAGACTTCTGTCCAAATTGGGGGTAAATCCCCTCATACCTTGTCAGCAGAAGAGACGCCCTAATTTTCCCTCACATCCTGTTCTGGTGACAACTGTAAAAGGTTTGATTTTCTATCACAGTGAATTTCCCCACCAGGGACACAGATAGCAATACAATTCTGCCAGATGTATTAGCACATTCCTACTCTATGAAAAACTGCTAAAATGGCTTTTGATAAGCTTTAAAGCAGAAATCCAGCCAAAACCAACAAGATAAAATGAATAGATCACTAAAAGTTGAAGTGATATTAATAAACCCAAAAACTTACTATATGAAAATGCCTCAATTTTTAAATGTGGTGGCTGCATTCATTTTTTTTTTTTAACCTTTTATCCTTTATTTTCACCTAACATACAATGTGTGTCCAGCAGCTATCACCCCATGTAATCACTGGCTGCATGTAGCTAGCTTTGGCCCAGAGCTTGCACACTACAATGGCAGCCACAGGTAGCTGCTGACACTTGTCAAAAACAGCTGCAGGAATCCATAATTTCTGCCACTGCTATTCACACCCATGGTAAAATGTCTGTGGGAAAGTAGCCAAAAAAAAAACAACTTATTTTTCAACTTCTTTCAACCAACCAAGCTGTCCAGAAAAAGTGGAGGAAGCTAGAGGGCTATGACAAGCCACAGGCATGGTTACAATGATCAGCTTTTATTCATATATGTAAAACCTTTATCCCAAAAGGGAAAAAATAAAAAGTTGCTGTAACTGCTTATAAAGTGTCATCTGGAATTCAGCTTTAAAGGATAAGTTCACCTTTGGGAACATGTAACATGTTCCCTATGCAGCAGCCGTGCACGCCGCTGGTGGGAGTAGAGATGCAATTGATGATTTATGATGGCATCTTAACTATTGATTGGGATCTACATTCCTGTGTATGGCAATTCGATCAATTGGATTGTCAACTATAGATCAAATTATTCCGATCGGAAAAGAAATCACGCCCTTTTTAAATCATGTATGGCCACCATAAGGATTGGCAAACTGCAATATACTGTATTACTTTCTTGTGTTTAAGTTTAATAGGACTTTAAAATAACATAAAACCAGCTTTTGCCTCAATATTCATTTTAAATCCAGAGATTTCTCCTGCAGTACTTTTCCCCACCCTTTAGCTGAACTTCCTAGGGAGAATACTCCATCCTTCTTCCTCTGAACCCAGGTCATTCAAAATTCACCACCAGCCTAACTGGACAGTGAAAAGAGAAGCAGCACAATAAGCTCATCTGTCACTCTGCTTTCTCCTTCTTTCAGCATCCTCCCTATCAGAACATGAACTGACTAACGTCTTGTGCTGCTTCTCCTCACATTCCAGGCCTGCTGTACATGGACTGCAAGAGGCTGATACCAGGTCACATTCAGGTAGTTACTGATGTAATATTAACTACAGAGCTGCAATAAAGGTGTTGAAAAGGCTAAAGTTTTTTTTTTTAAATCTTAATACACTATTTGCATTAAGGTAAAAAAAAAACCTTTTAGATGTGTCTCCCTCCCCTCTAAATACTTACCAGAGCCAGATCTCAATCCAGCACTGTGCCCAAGAGCAGGGTCACTGCTCTCTCTCCCTCCTCACTGGACCCAGTGAGAGCAGCGGTATTCATTGGCTCCTGCTGCTGTCAATCATATTCAGTGACAAAGGATAGGGGGGCTGGACTAGGCCACACTGCGTGCATCGACACATACAGCCACACTTGGGATCAAGCCCACACGTGTGCCCCCGCAGCAAGTGGTTTGCTTTAGGGGCACGCTGGGGGGACCCCAGAGAAGGAGGATCGGGGTTGTTCTGCACAAAACCATTGTAAGGTGGGTAAGTATAACATTCTTTTTTTTTTTTTTTTTTTTATATATATAACAAAGACAACCTTTATAACCACTTTAAGTTATGTCTTTTTTATCTTCTTAGAGTTCAGCTTTAAGAATATTATCAGGAAAATAGGTCAAACCATTTCAACATGAAAACTTCAAAGCAATACAGGAAAAACAAGGCGGATTTCAGCAGCATTTAATAATAAATGCTAGCAGTAGATGCCTTTCTACTCGTCCCTCTCCAACACACACACAGACATATTCCGCTGCCATCCACAGTAGCCGTGTCTTTTATTCAAGCTGACAACTGTACATGTAAAGACTGACCTCCCGCCTTAAAATCTTCCCCAAAAGGTATCAATTTTGGAAGGGGCTGTGTTGCACCCTTTGATAAAGAATCCTTAAACTGTTTTCTGCTCCTGCTAACCTTGGAGAGACATAAGTGAAAGCCAAGTAGTTATTTTCGAGCAGAAATCGTTTCAAAAGCAGCGCTGGAATCTGTTTCAAGCTCAGCCAGGGCCTCTCGTCTCTGCCAGCAAAGAAGAGATTCTAAACACCACACAAGGTGACGGGTCGGAAGACACGGCCGCGCTCCTGTCAGGCGCGGGGGGTCGAGAAGCGGAACTTGGGCAAAGCCTTCTGAGCCAGGACATCCATCAGGGTGACAGACGCAAAGTTTGTGACCTCTGGCACTTCCCCTAACCAAACTGGGAAGGTGCCACTGTTTTGACTGCACAAAATGTTTTGGAAAAATAGGTTGAAAAATTAGACATTTTGGAAAATATTTCAGGATTAAAGGCTTCCTGAGGCCAGGAGAATGAAAGTTCCCATAATTTTTTTTTGCTCCGTTTCTTTACATATAAATATATAAAAATGGTATTTGTGAAATGTGAAAAATGCCATGCATTCTCAGAATGAAGACTTTATCCAGTCAGCTCCACAGATAAGGAATTATCTTTAGCCCTTCCGCAGAACTTCACTATCTATCTGAATCACTTCCGCTGTATTCCTCCCCTGCGCCAGGTTGTGCGCCCACCTCTCCATCCTCGCTGTCCTTGTCCCAGTCCTTCATGGACGCCCCCATCATAAAGTCGTCGCGCAGAATGTTCCATTCTGACGTGTCCTCTGATTTTGCAACATTCTGGAGGAAATAAAATGGCAAAGGGCAATTATTTAGGAGAACAAAAAAAAACATCAGAGATAGCTTTAACAACAGCACTAAATATGGCAAGTACACAATACTGACAACTCATTAACTGAATGCTGTGCTTGCTTCTTCTATGTTAATGCCTTGGAAATACTGAGGTAAGAGAATGAAAAAAAAAAAAAAAAAAAAAACGACAATGGCTGCCTATGCATTTCATGAAATATTTTCTTTAACACCAAACTCTGGACAACTAAAAATACTCACTTCAAGGGTAATTGCTTGTTTAGGCCTAGGGGAGCAAAAAGGACTCCTTTGACACCGATGAGGGACAGTTGTACCCATGGGTTTAGTATGTGCTAGCTGCACTTTCATTGACTTCTATCTCCTGCAGTTTTGGTGCGCTTTCAGAAAGCGCACAAAAACTCCTGTATGCAAGACTTTTTACCAAGAATATAGAAGTCAATTGGAAAGCACAACTAACCCTCACCAAACCCACAGTGGGGTCAAACCACACCATATCAGCATGAAAAGGACCCAAAAGGAGATTTACTTACCCGACCTTCCACTCCTCCCGACTGCTACATTGATCGCCAAAGTGTCTGCATCCCCAGACTAGGCTTCTGACATCAAGACCAGAGGAGAAGCCCCAGCCTTGCACTGGATATGAGGATGCTGCAGGACAGTCCGCCTCCAGATTGGGGGGTAACACCGCCTGCCAGAGGAGAACTTTCTTCCCTCCCGCAGTGGGGCTGTGCTGGCACTGCATTGGTTAACTGCTCGTTTTTCTCCAATGGTGAGCAGAGCGTAGATGAAGTTATCTAAACCCCAATCCAAGTGCAAGACCAGTCCCTGCTGCTCTTGACCCCCCCGCACGCTAGAGGTTTTGTGAATGGACTGTTCCTGACATCACGCCCATAGACCAGCTCTGGACATGAGGATGGCAGGACACCGTTTTCCAGAGGATCGAAGGATGGGGCAAGTATAGCCTTTCTGTGCGCCACTGGACAAAAGTAGTTAACCCATGCAGTGCGGACACAGCCCGGCTGCAAGGGGGGAAAAAAAAAAAATAGAGTTCTGCTTTCTTCTCTCCCAAGAAAACAAGAAAAAAACAGCCATAACCCTTGCAGTGTGGGCACAGCCTTACTGCAAGGGATAATTTAGCCTAAATACAGTCCACTTACTAAAACTACTAAAGTTAGCAGTGCTTTTCTGCCCCCTCATTGCGCCATATCCCCCACTGGTTGGATACCTGCACCACTATTAAAAAAAAAAAACAAAATTCCAGAATGGCACATATACAAGATGAGGAGTATGTCGTCAAAGGTAGAGGACTGAGGATTGTACTGGTGATGTAGCCTTCCCAGGGGACATCTGTGAGGCCCTGGCTATGTCATTAGAGCTTAAGGAGACTAGGGAGTGGAAACCCAGTAAAGATAAATCAAATATTTTTAACGCTCCAGAGCTTCACTGCTACTGCAGCCACCACCATAAGTCCTAGAGTTGGCTTGTGTCAGAACTTAGATTTGTGACTTCACCCCATATGAACCAGTGAGAGGAACCACTGTGTGTGGTGAGGGAAGCAAGTTCCTTGACCCAACCAACCTGTCGAACACTTGAAATGTCAACTCTTCACTGCTCCCTGGTTGTTACAAGGGTTTGTTCTTCTATAAAAGTATACAGCATCTTCCATATAAAATATTCTTTTACATACAAAGTGATCCTGTGCTGACATGGTCACTTTAAAGGATAAGTGTACTTTAAAACAAAAGTACACTCATCCTTTATGTCCCCAATCAATCCCCATCCCCCACCCCTACACAGACACATACTTACCTCGATCCAATAGCTGCAACTTCCAATGTCTGTTTACATCCTGGCCTCGTCTGCGTAATACAGCCTCTATGGGGCTTGTCTTGATCTCAGGACAAGGAACCCTCAGCAGTGTACCGGCGTGGCCAAAACAGGAAGACTTGGAACAATGGATGTAATCAAATACCAGCCACAACCATCGGATTGAGGCATGTGTCCATTAGTTTAGGTCAAGGTAAAGGGGCAAAAAGGGATAACTGCACTATTCTGAAGTGCACTTATCCTTTTAAGAGAGAACAGGAATGTAAAAAAACAAAACAAAACAAAAAACCCATACATTACACACAGATGACTGCAGTATTGATCTAATGCCACCTCTACTCCGAGAACTAATAGATCAAAGAACGCTGATCGCTCAATTCTCAGGTCTGCTCTAAGCAGAGAGCAGTGACTGTCATTCTCCATCTCTGTGCTGACTGGAGCACCAGGCAGTGCAGTTCAGGGGTGGGAATGGCCGGCTTAGGCTCTCAGCGGAACCCAGAGGCTGAGCCTGCTGCCGCTCAGGGACCAAGACAGATCCCGGCAATATGGTCAGGACCCCTGTAGAACCTGGACCAGCTCTGTGACGTCAGCCAACAGCGGACTTTAGCCCACTGTCAGCAGAATCTGGGTCACAAGAGTGCAAAACTAAGTGTGCTACTCTTACCCACAGGAGAA